CTCTGAACTGCTATTTAATGCTAAGGATTAGAAGATGACAGCGGGGAGGGAGGAAGGAAATAAAGGGACACTTGATGTAATAACGATTCTGTGTTAGGAGCTGGGTTCTTGGTGCCAAGCTCACCTCCACTGCTCCCAGGACACACAATAGTGTGTAGGTCCTGGATTTGGTCTCCTGACCTTAGCATTGAGATCAGAGTTTTATATCTCATGGTTGGCTTTAGTTCCCTGATTTTCTGTTTTTTAGGGTTTTTTTAGTTTGGGGGAGAAGTGTGAAGATACCCTTGGAGAGTCCCTGAATTTGATAAGCCCAATAATACAGTTGAAAATATGTTTTATCCAAGAACAAAATGTATTCCAAAAGGAGAATCCTCTTGAGTAGCGACGCTGGATGTCAGTCAGAACAGCTTCTACTGGACACCGTTATATTATCTCATCTATTTCTCAGCAATCCTCAAGACAATTTTATTCTCACTTGACAGATGGGAGGTTAAGAAACTAATGTTACACAGCCAGCAAGTAGAAGCCCATTAGTACTGGCACCAGAATTTGAACACAAATCCGTTTAAAGCCAAACTTGCGTGCCTCACCACTACATCATATTGTCTCTCACACACAAATTCATGAAGATCTGTACCTTTTTAGAGGCATCTCTTCCCTATCTTCTACTTGCTCTCCCTAGTTCCAGTTTTAGTATCTGCTTCTTAATTCTCTTACATCATGACAGACGTTAGACTGAACGGCTATCAGTGAATGCCAAGTCTTGATGCAAACACTGATAAGCTGCTCTGAGTTTGGAGAGAAAAGAAAAAGAAGTCATCCAGCAGAACAAATACAGAAGTTTTAGGAGCACAGTCTGGGACGTGAGTCATATAGAATTTTAAAGAGAACCTGCTATAACCTTCTTTAGATCAAAGTTATTTTCCTGAATTCTCAAATTATCTTTAAAGTACATAAATAAAATAAATAATTGTTCTCCCTGCCAATATCGCTACAGTCCCAGTTGTCTTTAGCAAAATCAGGGGCAATAATCATTGGATGAAGTCTGTTCCAATTGTATGGGAAGAGATTACCCAGGCCCTATTTGATATTAAGAACCTCAACATAAATACTGGGGTTTCGGGCGCCTGGGTGGCTCAGTTGGTTAAGCGACTGCCTTCGGCTCAGGTCATGATCCTGGAGTCCCGGGATCGAGTCCCGCATCGGGCTCCCTGCTCGGCAGGGAGCCTGCTTCTCCCTCTGACCCTCCCCCCTCTCATGCTCTCTCTATCTCATTCTCTCTCTCAAATAAATAAATAAAATCTTAAAAAAAAAAAAAGACCTATTCTTTAAAAAATAAATAAATAAATAAATAAATACTGGGGTTTCATATCATCCTAATGAATTAAAAGGTATGCATTTACAAATTTTAAAATGTTAATTCTACCACTGATTTACACTTCATTTGTCCTAAAAACTTTTTTGTTTCCTAATTCATGTCAACTTTAAAAAAAAAAAAAGAGTAAGTTTTCCCACCTGAGTATTCCACTAATACTCTTTTGAAATCTCTGTTACTAAAAAGTCATCTCCTCATCTTAAGACCATAAGTATTTTAACTGACATCAAAGGGAAAAAAATCTCCTTTTATAAGACAATTCAAACCACATCATTCAAATTTGATTTGTAAAATTTGGTTTAAAGGAGATTTTAAAATATATTTATTCACTTACTTATTCATTCCATAAACATTTGGTCTGCACGTCTTGTATGCCAAACAACATGCTGGGGTCTCAGGAACACAGATGAAGGAGTCTTGACCCCAAGCTGCTCACACCTATATTAACCCCCTAATATGCTTACATGGAAACACACACACACTCAGAATCCTGCTGCTCTTTGCTAGTGGCAGCAAATAATCATTTCCCAAGTTGGGGCCTCAAAGCATAAAAATGAATTCTTAATGTCATAATAGGACAATCAATTAAGTTTCAGTTTTTACCTTTAACAATCATTTGCTCCAATATATACTGGACTCCTGGTATGGGCAAATGGCTAATTGAGTTTTCAGCTCTACTGGAAAACTCTTTGAAAGCAAGCTTTGAGAACTCTCATCTCTATTTTTACATCATGCTACTGTAGAATGACTCAGGCTCAGCCAGTAAATTTTAAGCATTTGTGAGTAATGGAACCCATGGAAAATCTGATAAAAAAAAATACATGCACATATATGAAATTTTTCTATAAACTTCAGAAGTGGTGCAGGGAACCCCCAAGACCCTGGTACAGACCATTCAATAGGACCACGGGAATGTCTGCTGACTGTGAGCAACCTCAGGGTGTGAACTTCAGTTGTGTCTCATTCAAGTTAGTATTCCTTGTCCCAGAGCAGATTTCAAAGAGTATTGTTGAATGAGCACCTTGGCAACACTGTCCTTACGAAGCTTCCATTGTTACTTCCCTCTCCCCCCAAAACTTCCAAATCCTCAACTTCCACTTACATACTTTTCTAAAACTTACTTGCTGAAGCCTAATCTGACAGTCTAGGCAACTATCTCTTTTCCAGACTCTACTTCCATAATTTTCCCTCCTCCACTTCACAAAAGGCATACCTCCTACCACCCAAATGTTATAATGAAGCATTGTCCCAGAGTGTAAAAACCACTCCGGCCAGCAAAAACATTTCCAAGATACACAATGTCTAAGGGAGTGTCCCTTGAGAAAAAGCAAAAAGATCCTTATAAGAAATACAAAGAGGTTATACCTCATTTTATCCAGGGGATAAACTATTGGCAACTCCCATACCTTACTTATATGTTGAATAATTAGAATTCAGAAGTAAGATGATTATATGGGTCAGATTTTAACACTTACTTGAATTAAAAGGTGGTCAGCCTTTCTCTGACAGAAAGCTCAACTTACGAATTCCTTTGACAAAGAACACTGAGGACGTGTAACATCCAAAGACCTAAATCTGCACTTTTGAGATTTTGGCAATATATATTTAAAGCATATGCACAATATAGAATACACTGAAAGTACATACTTGGTGACAATTTAAGCTTATGCCAAAAAAATTAGATAACTTAAAAATGATCAAGGAAATAACGATGGATTTTTAAAATAATTTTTTTTAAAGATTTTATGGGGCGCCTGGGTGGCTCAGTCATTAAGCATCTGCCTTCGGCTCAGGTCATGATCCCAGGGTCCTGGGATCGAGCACCGCAGTGGGCTCCCTGCTCCGTGGGAAGCCTGCTTCTCCCTCTCCCACTCCCCGTGCTTGTGTTCCTTCTCTCACTGTGTGTCTCTCTCTCTGTCAAGTAAATAAATAAAATCTTAAAAAAAATATATTTTATTTATTTATTTTGAGAGAGAGAGTGTGTACAAGCAGGCGGTGGGGTAGAGGAAGAGGGAGAGAGAGAATCTCAAGCAGACTCCACGCTGAGCTCAGAGCCCGATGTGGGGCTCAATCTCACAACCCCAAGATCATGACCTGAGCTGAAATCAAGAGTTGGATGCTCAACCAACTGAGTCACCCCAGCGCCCCTGGGTTAAATTTCTTAAATATGAAAAATGAAACTATAAATGCACTAGAAAAATACAGGACAATATTTTTTTCAATGGAAGGGATGTGGGTAAGGAAGATCATCCAAAGAAAGATTGTTTTTTTTAAAAGAAGCCATAAAGGAAAAGACTACAAATTTCATTGCATAAAACATATTAAATTTTGAAAGGACATCAGTTAAAAGATCAATGAGAGGCTGGAAGAAAATATTTGCTACATATACAGCAAACATATCTATAATATAAACAGTTAACACCTATAATATAAACAGTTCCTATAGACCAACAGGAAAATATTTTTTAAAAAGAAAAATAGCACAAAATGAGCAAAAAATACAAGAAGGCAATTCACAGAGAAAATACTAACAGTCAATACTCACTCAGCCCTTGCTGTGTTCAGAAAAAAAAATGCATATTAAGTAAAAAATAATATATCATCTCGCCCCCAATAAATTGCCAAAAATTTAAAAGATTAATAGTACATAATGTTGCTTTTAGTATTGGGAAACAGGCAGTCTTATCCTTTACAAAAGAGAAAGTAAATGGTACATTTTGGAGAGGTGATTTCACAGTATCTGCCAAAATTAAGAACTGTTTGGTTGTATTTCTAGACATTTATTATATGGGAATGCTTACTCATGAACCAAAATGAGTAGTGCAACATTGCTTATAGCACATATGTGCTGGTCACTTGAATAAGATTCCCTTAGATGACAAGTGCCTGAGCCCACAACGTCTGGGTATTTCAGTCTTAATTGCTAGCTATGCAGGAGAGTATAAGGCAATGTTTCACTTTTCTTTTCACAGAGATTGAGTCATTCTCTACAATGAGCAATCCTTGGACAAACAACCCATAGTTTACTGATGGGCTTTGTCAACTAGAGACCAACCCCCAAAAGCTTCCACAGCAGCTGTCTAAGATGTCCAGAACTGATTTGGGAGCAAGAATTTTCCACCTGCTTTCCCAAATCTGATTGAACGCAATATAAGGTAATGTAATATCATCCTTCCTGTATATCATTCCTGTATATTCTGACAATTTTGCTATTTTCATGCATACATATGCAGTAGATGGGTCATTTCCTTTTTTTAAATTTTTTAACAAAACTAATTATTAATTCAGTTCACCAATCAATGCCAATCAATGAATTGGGACTAGAAAGTAGTAGATATGAGTAAGCAGGTGGTTGTATTGCTTCTTTGAGTAAAACAATGATTCTCATGTTATTTCTACCATCTCTAAAGGCAAGAAACAGAATCCCAGAAGAAGCATAAAATAGTGTTTAGATTCCCATAATCCTGCTAAGTTTATTTACAATTCCCTCCTTCATCCTTCCTGCCTGTCCAGATGGTTTTCTTCTTTGTTTCTCAAACTGAATTATGTTCATTGCCTTAAGATGTTAAATACTTCAAGGGCCTTCCTCTTTAGTTCCTCACAAACAGAAGTCATAAACTCTTACCTTTGCCGAATTATGCTGGGGTTAGCTGTCACTAAATGACTTTTGGATCCAACATCTTTAGTGTATTCACTTGACAAAGGAGGAAGATTGCATCTAGAGAAACAAAACATTTTAGAATGATTTACAACCTTTTAAATCAAGTCAGTTATCATGACAAATAGGAATTTTACTAGATCTAGCTCAACTCATAAATAATCATTTTTATCACCTCTCCCTTTTAACAGTCATTAGATGATTAACTATAACCATCTTCAAAACGCAGTCATAAAAACAAGTCCTGTTTTAGAAGAAAATGTCAACTACCACAGAGTTAAGTAATCTATTAAAAAGAAGACATTAACTAGAATGAATTTATTCCATTCAAAATATTTTGGGGGTGGTAGGACAGGAAGTATTAGGCTTGAAACCAGAGCTCAGGAGGGTGTGGTACATAAGGACACAGGGCTTGCAGTGTTCTCTGTATACCCAGAAAATTCAAGACACAGGGGAGAATTGTATTTGCTTGTGGTTTTCTTTCTGTTCCCAAATTCTAAATTATAACAGTACATTCAGAGCAAACTCTGCCACCTAGATCAATGCATGTCCAACTTCTGTGTACATGATCAATGTATGGGTTGACTACTGGTGAAACACAATGATTTGCTATCTAAAGAAATGCATTGATTCTCCACTGTCCCAGTTCAGCCAAGGGAAAGAGTATACGTGATGCTTTCCTGGTGACAAAAATAACTCCCCTCTCTCACACATACACACACACACACACCACCCCAGCCCCGATTGCTTTCCTTGGCCACAATGTCTTATGAATGTTTACAATGGAAAATATGGCAACTACAAATCCAAATCCCACGGCTTTCTGCCCTTGGAACTTCAGGCAAGTTAATTCATCTGCCTGGCCTTGGTTTCCTCACGACACAAAATGAAGATAATAACTTTTCTTTAATGAGGTTGTTGTAAGGATTACAGTAAGAAATGTATATAAAAAGTCCCTACCTTGATACCTCACACATAGTAAAAACTCGAAAATATCGTGTATCAGAAATATATTTATAATCAAATATATACTTTTTATGAAGACCCTAAATGAATCTGTAGATCCCATTAGGTTTTCTTTTATTACTCTGTCCTAATTTCTCCTCTCCACCCCTAGCTCTAACTTGACTCCTACCATATCAGAGCATCTCTAACTCTTGCCTACTTAAAATAAAACATCATTTATTTGTAGGTAAAGAGATATAAACATTAAGGTCTCTGCCATCCCCCAACTATTAAATTTACCCCACAAATTTCCCCAGGACATGGAATTGTCCATGCACCCACTCAGCTGATCAGCTCAAGTTCCTTGATGTTGTCTTGTGACTCCTACCACATCAGGGCATCTTGGGCGGAATTTGTCTCAGTTGATTTGGAATCTTTCTTTCATCTGCTCTACAGTAAAGAGATGCTGGATCTTCAGGCAGCTACCCACAGATTATTTAGTCAGCAAGTTGGTGACTTTTGCTGAGTGCCCATTGAGTGGTCACTGTTAGGGTCTGGGGAGCAGGGAGAGCCAAGTCACAGGGCCTCCTCTTGAGGTGTTTATAGTCTCATGGTCGCACCATATCCCATGTAGTTTCTGAAGACACTTGTGAGGGAGTGAGCTTCAGTGTTACCAACCAGGCTCATCTGGCAGGAGTGCTGACTATGGTCTTGTGATTTAACTGATCTTTGCAAAGATGAAGGTGACTTTCAGGATAAAACATAAGCTAAAATTTGAGCATTTATGTCTTAAGGAAGCTTTGATCTTGATGGTCCTTCATAACATTCAAGAATCAAACACATTATACCAAAACTGTAACCTCTGAATACTGCTGGAGAATGCAGTCAACCTGTTTTGTCATTAATGAAACATGTCAGTTTTAATGAACAAATACTTTGTTTTTCTGTGTGTTCCTTGTAGTTCGATCCATGGCTCATATGCCTGGGTTCCTTCATACCTTCTATCACAGTAAAAGCTCAAGAAAAACTTCTGGATACTGATTGTCAAATCCTACAACACAAGGAAATGCTTAAAGTAATTAAGATAATATTTTATAAATGCATTTCTGGAAAATAATGATACTGCATTTTGGTGTAAATATCGGTCTTAAGTTCTTCAAGTGCAAATGTCTATGACACTTCCTTGTAGCTCTTAGAAAAAGCACACTGTAATTTTAGTTCCTCGATTCCTAAATTGATAATAACATAGATTTATATAAAAGGCACATTTAATACAAATTGTTTCTAATAAGGCATAATTGTGTAAAAGTGTTTCAAACTTTGCATTATCGCTCATTGGCACAATTAACAGATATTAATGGCTAATGTATGTTAGTAACTGTGCTCATGATCCTAAAAGATGTGATCACAGAATTGATGAAAGATAAATATCCTTTGAATTGGGGCATAGAGGTAGCAGGGGAATGGGCTTGGTGAAGAGGAATCTTTAAATAGAAAAAAGTCATAAAATTACTTTTTAAATGTTATGCATATCATTCATCATCAGGGAACTACAAATTAAAACTACAATGAGATATCACCTCACACCTCTCAGAATGGCTAAAATCAGCAACACAAGAAACAACAGGTATTGTTGAGGATGTGCAGAAAGGGGAACCCTCTTGCACTATTGGTAGGAATACAAACAGGTACAGCCACTCTGGAAAAGCGTATGGAGGTTCCTTAAAAAGCTAAAAATAGGGCGCCTGGGTGGCTCAGTTGGTTAAGCATCTGGGTTCAGCTCAGGTCATGATCCCAGGGTCCTGGGATTGAGTCCTGCATCAGGCTCCCTGCTCAGCGGGGAGTCTGCTTCTCCCTCTTCCTCTACCCCTCCCCCCACTGCTTGTGCTCTCACTCTCTCTCTCTCAAATAAATAAAATCTTTTAAAATTTTTTTGAAAAAAAAAAAAAAGGTTAAAACTAGAACTATCCTACGACCCAGCAATTGCACTACTAGGTATTTAACCCAAAAATACAAAAACACAAATTCAAAGGATACATGTACTCTGATGTTTATAGTAGCATTATTTACAATAGCCAAAATAGGAAAGCAGCCCAAGTGTCCATTGATTGATGAATGGATAAAGAAGTGATATATAACGGGTAAAGAAGTGTTAAAGAAGTGATAAGTGTCATTTCATGACAACAGAATATTACTTAGCCATCAAAAAGAATAAAATCTTGCCATTTGCAGTGACATGGATGGAGCTAGAGAGTATTGTGCTAGGTGAAATATATCAGAGAAAGAGAAATACCATATGATTTCACTCATATATGGAATTTAGAAGACAAAACAAATGAGCATAGGGAAAAAGAGAGAGAGAGAGGCAAACCAGGAAACAGACTCTTAACTATAGAGAATAAACTGACGGTTATCAGAGAGGAGGCAGGCGAGGGGGATGGGTTGAATAGGTGGTGGGGACTGAGGGGTGAACCTGTTGTGATGAGCACCGGGTGTTTCTGGAAGTGCTGAATCGCTATGTTGCACACCTAAAACCTAGTATTACACTGCATGTTAACTGGAATTTAAATAAAAACTTTAAAAGTGTTACGCATATTTAAGTATGTAAAACACACATTTGAGCATAATTCTACCGCACCAAAATGATGTTGTCCTCACTTGTATCCCTGAGCCACACAAATCATCTCCAAGATGCAAGCATGTTACCTTTGTCTTGCAGACCTTCCAGATAAATTGTATTCAATAATATTATTTTTTAAAGTGTTACTTTGGACTATAGAGCAAATGTTTACTTTGAAAAACAAGAAATAGATGTTTAGCATTAGAAAATGTACTTGAAGGGGCGCCTGGGTGGCTCAGTTGGTTAAGCGACTGCCTTCGGCTCAAGTCATGATCCTGGAGTCCCTGGATCGAGTCCCGCATCGGGCTCCCTGCTCGGCAGGGAGTCTGCTTCTCCCTCTAACCCTCCCCCCTCTCATGTGCTCTCTCTCTCTCAGTCTCTCTCCTCAAATAAATAAATAAAATCTTTAAAAAAAAAAAAAAAGAAAATGTACTTGAGGGGTGCCTGGGTGGTTCAATCGGTTAAGCATTTGGCTTCGGCTCAGGTCATGATTCTGGGGCCCTGGGATCGAGCCCTGCGTCGGGCTCCCTGCTCATCCAGAGTCTGCTTCTCCCTCTTCCTCTACCCGCTCCTCCCCCCTGCTCATGCTCTCTCTCTCTAAAATAAGTAAATAAAATCTTAAAAAAAAAAAAAAGATAAGAAAATGTACTTGAAAATGTCTAGGCAAAGAAAATTATAATACTGTTATATCCTAATACTGAAAAACACTTTGAACTGTAATGTGGTATATCACTGTGTGCAGGTAAGGCTATTTTTGGATCTGTTCTCTCACTGTAACTCTCCATGCACCCTATAGTCTAAGATCAGACATACTACATGCTTTCTAATCATATGTATTCACTAAATGTTTAACTTGAACGTATGATACTACCCGAATTTTCTCAGGGCACCCAAAAAATGTGTATGAAGCAACCATTTATAAGTAGAACCATAAGTGGTCAAATAAGAATAATTTATAAACAATTTATAACACTTAATTGTGGCACCTGGGTGGCTCAGTCGTTAAACGTCTGCCTTCAGCTCAGGTCATGATCCCAGGGTCCTGGGATCAAGCCCCACATCGGGCTCCTGAGTCAGTGGGAAGTCTGCTTCTCCCTCTCCCACTCCCCCTGCTTGTGTTCCCTCTCTCGCTCTCTCTCTGTCAAATAAATAAATAAAATCTTTAAAAAAAAAAAACAAACCACTTAATTACTCCCATATTGTAAACCTTAAATGAGGCTTTTAAAAAATTCAAATATATTATGAAAATGGCCCTATTCTTTGCAGGGGTTCGACATGGTGGCATAGGAAGACCCTGAACTGACCTTCTCGCATTGGTACACCAAATCTACAGCTACTGATAGAATAATTTTCCCTGGAAAAGACCTGAAAATAAGCTGAATAGCAACTCCACAACAAAAGATAAAAGGACCACATCAAGAAAGGTGGGAGAGGCAGAGACATAGTCTTGTCAAAAACCCTATTCCTGGCACGGCAAGCCACCAGTAGGAGGGATCTCACAAATACAGAGCCTGTCCCTAACGAGCAAGGTATTTGATCCCCACATCATGTACCCCAACCCTTGGGACCTGCACCAGAGAGACAGGATCTGAAACATCTGGCTTTGAAAACCAGCATGGCTTATACCTAGAAGACCCAAAGGACTGTAGGAAATGGAGACTCCCATCTTAAAAGGGCTCAGGCACAGGCTCATTACCTTGGGTCCCAGTGCAAAAACAGCAAGCTGAAAAGCACCTAGACCATATGTGAAAGAAATTCATTGGCTAATCTTAAAGCATCTGCCAGAAGGGCAAGGGTCTGCTGGAATTCTCTCCAGGGATGGAGGTGCTGGCACCATTTTTGCATTCTCCTACCTTGCTGGTGCTGCTTGCCCTGGAATGGTGCTCCCATTCCCCCCTTTAAAAGATGTAAAATGCCAAACTCAGCAGGTGATGTGCCAGCATCCTAGCACTCATCTGCCCTGCCAAAGTCTGTGGAAGGGTATACCCCAGTCTGGCACTCTTCTGTGGATCCATGCTGCCTAAACCAGCAGGTGCTTTCAGAACACACAAGGGATGCCCCTTAAACACCTGTCTCTGGCCAAGGGGAACTTGTGTATCTGGGCCCCACAGGTCTGAAACAATTAGAGAAACAGTTCCTGGCAAGCTACAACTCCCAGGTCAGATGCAGGCAGCAGACTAAAACACACCGTCCTTGGGCCCCATTTGGTGCCCTTCCTCTCTTGTTCATGCCTCTCAGAGCCCACTTCCTATCCAGCCCAGACTTCAAGGTATGTCACCTCACACTCTCTCTAGCCAGGATTCTCCGTGTTGTCACTCCCCTCCTTCCTCCCTCTTACCCAGACAATCCCAAACCCATGTCAATCCAATCACTTGCTGTCTTCACTTCTGGTCAAAATCACCCAACAGAGCAGGTTGATGCCACTAGAGGTAGATGGTCTCCACCCCTGGCTGAATGCATCTTAGCGGTTTTTTACACACCCCTGCAGAAGCCTCCTGTGTTCCCCTTCAAGTGACATACATGTCACCACTCTGCTCAGTCCTTTAACCAAACTTCCTCGCTGCTCAAAAGTTCTGCCCCCACCTTCCTTCCAGTTGTCCCAGCCGTACACAGATCAGATCTGTCTTCAAATCCCACTTGCTATATATCCCACTTGCTTTGTTTGTGAAAAACAAAGATGAAAAGGGTGTAGAGTGAAATGAATAAATGAAAACGTTTATTTATAAACAATCTTTGAAGTTTTTATCACCCGACTATATAATCTAAAGCAAAATCTAAGTGTTTCTACTTTTGGGTCTCCCCAGGACGTCTGAGCCCTTCTTGGTTTTGTACTTTCTTGGGGCATGTTCCCTTGCTCCCTGGCCCTCTCCTACACTCACTTGTATATGAACTTGAAGGGAAGCTAAAGAGCAGTTACAACTGATTAATCACAAGTGACTAGCTTTGAAAGGCCCCAGGGCTTGTGGAAGGGGTAGGGAAAAGGAGAGAAGGCAGAGGCCGCGCTGTGGGTGCTCTCTCTTACCGCATGACAAAATTTGCTTCATCTATTTGACGGCCACAGCCACTCTTCTTCAGAATCCCACCATTTCCCACCACCGCGCATTTCTTCAAGGGCAGCTGGAATGGGGTTGCCTAGCAACAGAAAACAAGGCGGGTTTTCACTGCAGAGAACACACAACCGCTCACAAAATCATTGTTTACAGCAGACCCGTTGGAAGAATTTGATTGAAGACTGGGCAGACCAAAAGAGCATGGAAAAAGAAAGATGCCAAGAAGTCTGTAAGGAATAAACTATCCTGTTCCTTTGAAACTAAAAAAAAATAATAAATAAACAATAAAAAAATTAATTCCCTGAAGTGTATTTAAATATAACATATTTTGAATCAAACTGACCATGTACATTGTAGAGAGTGGCTGCTAGGGAAAAGAGAAAAATCCATACTAAGCATAGGATTAGTTTTAAAGGCATTAAACTGGGAACAAGCTCAAATGGATTCTATCTCCCTATCTGAACGCAATTTCATTCATTCCTACAATCTGCAATTCACTCAACAAACAGTGGCTGAGTGTTGCCTATGCTGTTAGGGGTAAATACAAAAAGATACCGAAAGTCAGAGGCCTCAGGACTCACAGTTTGGGATGGAGGGGGACTATGAACATAGAAACTTATCTAACAGACTTTAACGTAATGCTGAAATTGTTGTAGAAGACGTATGCTCTAAGTGCTATGGAGAATCCCACACAGGAGGAAAAGGGCAAATTTCTGCCAAGCCAACTCAGGGAAAGCTTTCTCACTCGAGATGAATCTTAAAGGATGAATAGGATTTTGCCAGGCAGAGAAGCAGTATAAACAAAGGCATAAAGTATGCTGAAAGTAAATGCTGTGTTTATGAGAAAATGTACACTCTGGGTGGGTCTGTCTAGAACTTGGGAGGCGCTAAGGGGCAAGGGACTTGTGCAAACCAGACAGCATGTGACTTTCTTTCTGCAAACATTGAACTGAACTGCAAAGAAAATGTCCAGTGTACCTGAGTGTTCCCTGAAGTGCTATTTATAGTACCAGGGACTGTCAAAACCTAGCAATAGCCCCTGGAAGTGAAATGCGTCATTCAGTGTCTTTTAGCTGGATCAGCAAGAACCACGAAGTACAGAATCTCCTGCTTGCTGAAACAATACTTATTGGTTGCAGTTCTTTGGAGGAAGAACTTACATCTATAGAACTGGTACATAAAATAACCATTCTGATATTAAGTAGGCCATTCTGCATGAATTTGAAGCAAATATGGATTATACCAGAAGAATAAATGAAATACATGAATATATACTCTAAGAGCTTCACATAGGCCCAAAGTAATTAAACCGGAAAATAAAATTCCAAGAGTCTGTGTGATCACTAGGAGCTAAGGTCGGCACTTAATGCAGCACAAGAAAAAATTTTACTTCCTCTATTTCTAGTATGTGAAAGGAACAGCCAGTGCTATGAAAATATAGTTGATAAAGATACAGTACTTAAATGGTAAAGTCTAAGCATTTGCCCACAGACAATTAAGAATTCCCTGCATGACTGCAACAGAGAAAACAGTCTAGTGAACTCCAGAGAGGGATACAGAGAAGAAAGACAGGCAAAGGCCAGCACTCTAACATGTCCAGATTGATCCAGGGTTATATGTGGCATTTTCCTCAGTCAGTCCTCAGGAGGGTTTAAAGTCAACATTAGAAATACATTGGTTAGATCTACCGAAACAAGGCAGAGGATCATAGGAGAAGAGAGGAAAAAATGAAACAAGATGAAATCAGAGAAGGAGACAAACCATAAGAGATTCTTAATCTTAGGAAAAAACTGAGGGTTGCTGGAGGGGAAAGGGGTGGTGGGATGTGGGAACAGGGTGATGGACATTGGGGAGGGTATGTGTTATAATGAGCACTGGGTATTATATAAGACTGATGAATCACAGACCTGTACCCCTGAAACATAATACATTATATATTAATTCATTGAATTTAAATTAAAAAAAGAAAATATATTTATATATAAAAAAATAAAAGTGCAAAAAAAAGAGAAATACATTGGTTAGATCTATGTTAGATGTAGATTTAAGTTTATATGCTCAAATTAGCTATTCATTTATTCCACAAGTATTTACTGAGTGCCTACTATGTTCCAGGCACTGTTCTGGGTGACAGGGACATATGTAATAATCCCTGTTCCTATGGAGCTTACATTCTCATGAGTAAAGACAAATGAGTGGAATGAACAGTATGTCAGATGGCGATATGGGCTGTGGAGAGAAACAAATCACTGGCATGAAACAATCAGGAAATGGCTTTTGAAGAACTGCAATTCAAATAGGGTGGCTGGGAAAGACCTCAAAGGAGACATGTGAGCAAATCCTTTTGAAAATGAGGTGGTGGGCATTATGGACATCCAGGGGGAACTGCTGTTGCTGACCTTGAGGAAGGAACATTCATGGGGTACAAAAGGAAGAGCAAAGACCCCATTGTGTCCGGAGATGAGTAAGCAGGGGATTGACAGGTAGAAGAGAAAATCAGAGTTAACTGGCGGAGAGACCGGAGAACAAATTCTGTAGGGCCTTGAAGGGTATGATAAAGACTTTGGGTTTTGTTCCAAGGTGAACATCAAGTCAAGGTAGGGAGAGCAGAGGAGTGACGTTATGCCATATTTTGGAACAACCACTCTGTCTCTGTGTGAACAGGCTACAAGATGTCATGGGTGGAAAGAAAGGAACCAGTCAGGAGTCTCCTGTAACAGTGGACTAGAGATTCTGGTGGCTTGGATGAGGGTAATGGCAGTGGGGATGGTGAGAAGTGAGCAGATTCTGGAGATATTTTGAAGGAAAAGCTGACAGGATTTGCTGATGTAATGGAAATAGAGTAAGAGAAAAAAGAGGAATTTCAGAATGATGCCAAGGGTTTTGGCTAAAACAGCTGTAAAGATGGACCTGCCATTTACTGAGGTATAGATTACAGAGGAGCAGGTTTTGGGGAAAATGCTTGGGGGTTCAATTTTAAATATGTCATGTGTGACATCTCCTTTAGACATTTAAATGGCACTGTCAAGGAGGCAACTGAAATATGAGAATACATCCAGGGAACTGGTCTTTCCTGGAGAAAGCTGGGAGTGATCAGCATACAGTAGGGAACTAAAGTTAGGAGACTAGATGGTGAATGGGTGTAGACGGAAAAGAGAAGAGGTCAAAGACTTGAATCCTGGGACACTCCAACAAGAAGTCAGGACACTAAGGAGACTAAGGAGTGGCCAATAAAATGGCAGGAAAAAAAAACAACAGGAATGTGTGGTGTCTGGGAAGACAAGTTAAAAAAAAAAGGTTTCTCAAAAAAGAAGGGGAAACATGGTAGCAAATGCAATAGATTTGCAATAATAAATAGATTAATAAAGTAAATAATAGCTAAAAATTGCCCCCTGGATTTAACAACGTGAAGGTCACTTGGTAACCTTAACAAGGATAGATTTGGTTCACAGTGTAGACAGAAGCCTGATCTGAGTGGCGCCTGAGTGGCTCAGTCGTTAAGCATCTGCCTTTGGCTCGGGTCATGATCCCAGGGTCCTAGGATCGAGTCCACATCAGGCTCCCTGCTCAGTGGGAAGCCTGCTTCTCACTCTCCCGCTCCCCCTGCTTGTGTTCCCTCTCTCGTTGTGTCTCTGTCAAATAAATAAATAAAATCTTAAAAAAAAAAGAAGAAGAAGCCTGATCTGAGCTCAGTGAGTTATACATGTTTATTTGCATATCTATTTGTATATAGTTATTTTAAGAGTGTGGGCTCATTCATGCTCAACTAATATTTAGTTTGCCGTGGGGCACCTGGGTGGCTCAGTCAGCTAAGCATAGGACTCTTGATATCATCTCAGGTCACGATCTCAGGGATCGTGAGATCAAGCCCTGCACTGGCCTCTGTGCTGGGCGTGGAGCCTGCTTGGGATTCTCCCTCTCTCTTTACCTACCCCCCAAATAATAAAATAATAATAATAATTAATAACAACAACAACAATAATAATAATATTTAGTTTGCCTTGTAAAAGCCAACTTAAACCCTCCCTCATTGTTGTCAGAGTTCTTGAGGGGTGCCTGGGTAGCTCAGTTGGTTAAGCATCCAACTCTTGGTTTCGGCTCAGGTCATGATTCTAAAATCATTGAGATTGAGCCCCGTGTTGGGCTCCATGTTCAGCAGGGAGTCTACTTGAGAATTCGCTCCCTCTTCCTGTGCCCCTCCCCCACTAAAATAAATAAATCTAAAAAAAAGAGTTCTTGAACCAGACTGACTAGCAACCCCAGGCTTCCAGGCAAGAATCTGGGCACAGAAGCAGCATATCTGGGAAAGGGCAGAAGTAGCAGCAGCAACATAAAGCCAGGTGTCTCCAGGGGCGCTGGGGTGGCTTGGTCGGTTGGCCAACGGGCTCTTGATTTTGGCCCAGGTCATGATCTCAGGTTGTGGAATCAAGCCCAGTGTCAGCCTCTGTGCTCAGCAGGGAGTCTGCTTGAGATTTTCTCCCTCCCCATCTCCTTCTGCCCCTGACTCCACTCATGTGCAGTCTCTCCCTATATATAAGAAATAAACAAATATTTAACAACAACAAAAAAAGCTAGGTGCCTCCTACCTCCTAACTTCCAGGTTGTAGGACTGTGGGACTATAGGGCAGGCTGTCCAACCCCTCAGTGTTCCATTTCTTGTCTCTAAAGAGGGCTAATATCACAGGATTATATGAGATGTTGTACATACATCTCCTTGAGCTCCTGGTACGGTGTTCCTTCCCTTCTTCTTTCTTCCTTCCCTTCTTTCATCCCTTTCCTCCTTCTAGCACAGTTTACTGACTTGTTCAAGCCACAAAATACTGAGATTCCAGGGGTTTGGGGAAACATGATAATAGAGTGATTTGTCTAACTCTACCTTAACAATTGTAAAATGTAACTATTATATTCATATACTATAAAAAATTTTTTTTAAAAGCTCTTGAACTAAAGGCCAGGGATGGGGGGAGCCATTTCTTTTTTTCTGTTAATATTTGCTTGCTACTTCTCCATTTGATCAACTGCTGGCCCTCACACAAGCAATTTCATTTCAGTAAATATTTCTCAAGTGCCTACATGCACACT